TGAAGAAGCACTGATCGTATGGTTATTTAAGAAATCATTTAAATTAAGTATGGAATAAAGGAAAATAGTAACATAAATCAATGTTGTAGAAATAGGATAACAACAATAACAAAAAAATGTGATATTGTGTAAGTTTAACGACATAAATATAAATAAAAATTGAAAACCAACACGTAGAAACAATTTACAATTAGTAAACAAGTATTTAACAAATATTTCGACTCATTTTTTTCGATAAAAAAGCCTTAAATAAAGGAATGTTATTCTTCTTTTCCGAATTATTTCTACATGTAAGATTGCCTGCTGGTTGTATCACAATTTTTGGTACACCCTGTATAATTCAAAAATATTTCGGAACTCCAAGAAAATAAAATTTGGAGATTTGTATAAAGAAGAGGGGCAGTGATAACTATTATCTCGTTAATTATATATTACACAGAAGATGAAACATTTTTAACAAAGCTGTTTTTTTGGTTTCTATTTATCTGCATTTCTAAACTCCGGATTCTGTTTCCGAATTTTACATCGTTTTTGCATTTTCATCATTGATTATATTGTTATTTCATTTAATACATGATTCCTGGTTTCGATCATTTATTAGATTTTATTCCTTTTTTCCTATTTTAAATTTATTTATTTTTTTCGTGTTTTATATCCCTTTCGTAAATTTCTTTCTTTTCCAAATAGTTCATAGCCAAGACATCGTTGGACATTGTGGGATACGTACGTCTTATTAATTTTAAGTAGTTAAGATAGTTACATATGTTAACCTTTTGATAATGGTATTAATTTAAATACTTCGGTAGAAAAATGTGTAACTTTTATTCTTCAAAGTAATTCTGAATATTATATGAATCATATAAGGTATATTTATAATGTCTTACCAAAAATATAATATTATTTCGTACTAAGAAAAATATTAAATTTATTTATGTCCTCTATTCGTTAAACAATTTTATTTTCCGAAATTAAATCATTAAATGCAAATCTTTTCTATATAACTATATTACCTTCGTTTTCACTGTACACAATCTACAGACATGCGACTCATCATTATTAAATACAATGCTTACAATGAGAATATTTTTTAGAACACTTGATTTTCAAGGAATTCGTCTGCTCATGCAAATATACGTTCAAAAATTAAAACATTAAAAGCTTGTTAAAGCTTTGATACAAATTTCATAGTTTGATGCTCACGGAAGCTTACGAAGTTCAAATTTTTGGCTTATGACGGGACATTGTAAAAAGGAGAAGTTAGGTTTCTTCACCAATCGACTGCAGCCTAAACAAAGATGCAAGAGTGTCATTCTACTGTGGAAAGTCATGGTGGAAGGATGTATATCCTTATTCAGAGTGGGTAACATAACCTTATTTACTTAATTGTGCAATACTTTCGTTTCTATTCTATCATCTATATACTAATATTAGCTTTGTTTTATTAATATGTGTTTATTTATTTTTTTTTAAATATTATTATAATAAAACTAATAGTTTTCCAAGCCTTTTGATTTTTTTTTAATTTAACTGTTTAAGATACCGGTAATGCGCAAATTATTATCTTTAAGGCGGAAATTGAATATGATTATTGCTTCATTTTAACTTAGTAGATTTCCTACATTGTTTTAAATTTTTTGTTTTTTGCTTAGATTATGGGTTAATTACAAGGATCACATGGAATTGGAGAGGATCGATGGATTTGTGATCGATCAAATTTTCCTGCAGATTAGGCAATATTAAACTTATTACTAACGTAATATATATTTGTACTTACTTTTTATTAGATCATTGGTAATCTTTGTGGTAGATATTATCTAAATCTATTATATAGATAGTATAAATATTTATTTTTTTATACCTATTTGATACGTCTTTTTACAATACATAATTAATATCTTTTATAACTAAGTATTAAATAATTTCGTAGTTTATTAAAAATATTAAGATGAAAATAGAAAAAATTATAGAAATCACTTTTTATAATTCTAATGTAGAATTCTAAATAGTTTAATGAGATACATTCATATATTAAAGTAGATTTTTAAGTATATAATTGATTTGTTAAATCTTGTTATACTGTGTAGAAATTTTGGAATTTCTACAAAGAAGTCACAATAAACGCATTTTATTTTTAACACAAGGTTATAAATGGCTATTATGCAGAGTTATACTTCTCAAGCATGTTTATATGAGAAACTTTGATTTGTCATAAACATTCTCCAACACTTATAAAACATGATATAATCTGTTATCAGTAGTGTGTTTCAAACCCTATTAATGAATAGTCGTATAATTCTTGGATATTAGTTGCATTATCTCTATATTATACTTAATTATTTAAATTTGAATTTAAAGTATTTTAAGTATAAATATCAAGAAATATTTAATATTTTACTTGCTCATATCTATTTGAAGTGTATAATCCATTTTCTACTTTCACTATCAACAAAATGAATAACAGTTAATGGATATCAACAGCGATGTTTTTGTTTAATAGACATCGTAGAAAAAGGACGAAGGGAAAACAACATTTTATGTTTTATCTTTTTTCTTACCTCTCTATACTAGTACTCTTTTACCAAGAATTTTTGTGGTCGCGTGCAATGCGGCCGGTAAAGTCGGTGTCTATTTACATATTAAGTTCCTTCTTCAAAGTACAGTAGCTCTTTATTAAATACAACCATAATAGCCATACGCGAAACTAGAGTCGGTGTTAACTGCGTGAAATTTTATACAAGAAAATCATGCGTAATATTAGAATCTGTGTTTGTTCGCTGATTGAAATATAAACAGTCGCGTTAATAATTTCTTTATTTTTTTTTTTTTTAACTCATGCTTTTTTTTAAATGTTAGTTATTAGTATTAGAGTCAGTTTTCCTTTGGAGAGAACCTAAGAGTGCTTTAGAAGTAAAAAATGTGAGTATTTTTTGATACATTCTGATTAATTTTAGGTTTTTAATTTGATTGTTAAAAAAATAATTATAAATAATTATAATTAATTATAAAGTAAAAAAAGTAAAAAATAAAAGTTTTAAATTTGTTTTTTTATTGAAATAAAATTTGAAAATTTTAACTTTTATATTAAGTTAATATTTAAAAATATTTGATGTGTTTCAAAAATTATTAGATTTTTAATTTTTAAATTTCAAATTTTTATGTTAAAGTTCTACTTTTTAACCCTTTTAATGCCGAGCGAAAAACGTGTACCTATGCAAAGATAACCAGACGAATTTGACAAATTTACTAAGGTTTAGGAAAAAGCTGATAAAAACCAAGCTAAGAATGATATTTAAAAAATTCAAAATGCAGCGTATTAGGGAAGAAAGGGAAAATAATGTAATGCAAATTGCATTTCAATATTTAATGAATATCAAACGAATATCATCAATATTAAAAATGATAAAAAACATAGAAATAAGTTTTTCTTCTACAAACAATATTTGCACATAAGAATAACCATTGTTTGGTCACAGTTTTATGTAGATCACGTAGTATGATGTATAAGTATTATATTTTCAATCATTTTTAATAAAATAACCAATATCAGTCCTGAGAACGAAAGGATAACTCTATGGTACCAACCAGCATAGAATATAACAAAAAATTAAACCTGAAAACAATTTTTTAAATTCTTTTGCAATGAAATTATACCGTTTATAACGTTTTATAAATTTATTTTGAGATATAGCTTTCTCGCAATGCGAAGAATAAGGCGCCATCGCACACGCAACGATAAATTATCGTTGACACTTTTCGCAAGTGTGACAAATGACGATATATCGTCGTCCGGCACTAAAATGGTTAATGTTATTAAAAATCTAATAGCTTGGTTGACAATGGGCCTGCAGAGAATAAAACTAGACCGTATGAGGTCATAAAGGGTCATAAATAATATAGTCAGAATGAGATTGGTGCAGCCATTAGAAATTTGCTATCAACGTGTAAGTGATACACGTGCATCTCAACCAAGTGTACCTCATTATTCAAAACTAAAAGAAGGGTGATTGTTGCTATTATCGATGTTATTTGGAGGATGTTCATTCTCCTTTAGGGTGACTAATTAACGAACCAAGGAATCGACCTTGTGCAAAACAAACCGCTAATCAGGGAAATATCTATCAACCTCACATCTTCACGTCACGTCTTTAATCAGCAAAAATGACCAGTAAATATTTTTAGATATGCCATTTATAAAATCTTAAATAGGAAATGTTTTTTATTTAACATAAATCAATTATAATATATTTATTACATAGACAATATTAGTTTAATTATTAATTTTTTGTCAATAAATATTTTACCAGGCATAAAATATATTGCATAGATCATCTGCGATTAAAAATTGTATTTTGTTAATTGGAATTTGTTCAGAAAAAGAACAAATTATAGCAAAAAAAACTTGTGAGTAACAATAAATAATGATATATTTCATATAATGTTGCTTTATTCAAAACCATTAAATTATATTATTCGTTTTGATCCTGTTTACTAGTTTTAGTCAGACAAAACTGTGATGTGTAACAGTTTTATTTAAGACATTTCCCTTAACGTTACTTTTTTTTTTAAATAATATTTTTCTACCTCCATTTTATAAATATATATAGCACATTTATTTTCTATCAATAATTGTTAATTAGCTTCGTTATAGAGAAATAATTTAAATACCGTATGAAAATTGAATAAGAAGGAAGTGGTGAGGAAAATAGAAGTATGTTATTTAAATAAGAAATAAAAGATTGAAAAATACTTAAAAGAATATTAATATTTATACTACATTAACTTTCAATTTAGAATCTTAATCATACTTCAAATTGTTTTACATATTTTTCGAATTAAAACTTTGTGTATTCTACTTAAATATTACAGTATTAAAAGTGATATGCTTATTTAAATCATATAATGTTGTTACAAACTAAAATTGAAGAATTTAAATAGTACGTTATTGCAATATGGAAGAAGTTCCAAAACAAATTAATAAATTTATTAAAATCAAGCCACTATTTTCAATTGTTCCATAACTCTAAATATTAATAAGTGTTCTATGATGCATGTTTTACACGTCATCTAGATAAAAATGAAGTTGCTTCTGATTTTGTACTTATAGCAGACTGTAAACTCATCATGGATCCCCTAAAAGATGAATTATATAATTATATTTATGATATAAGTGATATAAACATTAATTTATAGACAAATACCTGTAATGAACTGAAGATAATGTCTCATAAAAGTACATAAGTTGCGCTTTATGACCACTAATGGATGGAAGAAATTCTCCTGCATCATCTTGATTATGCCATTGTAATATATATATACCCGCATCTTGCATTATATGAGAACCCTGTATTAAAATGAATGATTGTTATATGTACATAGATTTCTCATTATTTTTATACTATTTAAAATTAAGAAATTTACTAATAAAACAGAAAACCAGTAACTTAAATGTTATTTTGTCTTCTCTTTATCAATGAATTCATTATTTTATTGTATCTTTTTACCTCATTTTTATCTTTGTGCAATAAAAATTAATTTTATTATAACATTTCTAGCTATTAATGGATATAATTCTAAACATATTGTCACACATAATGAATAGTGTTGATGGCAATATATTAAAATTTGATTAAAAAATAGTCCTTTCTTTTTGAAAATATGTCACAAATTTACTAATGAAAATCCAGATGTAGTTTGTTCTTTGATTTGTAAACAATTATGTTTATTGTACAAATCACACTACCTTTAAATCTAATATCTCAATATTATATAACACTGCATATATTTTAATATTTTTTTACGACATAAATGAATTTCATGTCACTATATATTTCTTTCTTATATTTAGTATTATATTATATATTTTTGTATTAGTCTAAAATTATTATTCATATAAATAATTTTTATTTAACTTCATTTAAAATAATATATTAGTTCTGAAATAAAATCCTTCTTGACATCAGCTTCTTAAAATGATCAAACAAGAAAGTTTGAGATCAATGAGCAGATATTTAGGACCACTTCGATTTTGATTAAGTATTCAGTTGTTTATCGATATGAAAAATACCTCATGGTGCACGTATTTTAAAAAATTTTATAACAGTTTTTTATGAATCTTTAAAATATCGTGCACTTAGAGATAAAAAATGTTAGATTTTATCTAGTAACTTAATCTCTACTAGATTATTATTATTATTATTATTATTATTATTATTATGCTAGTTTTAAGTGAAATTAATTATTGTCGATTTAGTTCAAACAAATGAATAATATTATTTATATGTATGATATTACTTTTACGGTTGAACTATTGTATTTACAGGTTTAATTTTTATATTGTTTTACAAGACGTGTTTTCGAGTTTGAGTTGCGTTATGAATCTTTCGTGATTGGTGTTTGGAGGATGATTTCAGAATTCTCATAATTTGTATTCGGACATCTTTTTACTTTCACTGCCTTGTAGTGGAATGCAGATGTTTAATATCTAGTTGGTTCGGATTGACGTGATATCAGTTAAGATGGTGGATTTTGTAAATTTCTGTTAGGTAAGTCTATGAAAAATTAATTTTCCAGAAATTATTCCCGTCTTTTACTGATTATAATAATATTACATTATTTGATTTTTAATATAAAACATTTTTTATAGTTAATAGGAACATAAATTTTATTTATTTATTTTATATATCTTCTTGTTTAATAAATAATAAATTAAAATTAAAATTAAAATAATGTAAAGTCATCTTACCTTTGAATTAGGACAAGGAAGGAATTTAATATGGGATACGAGTAGTCTGGTCTCTTGTTTATGGTAAAATGCAAGGTTCTTGTCTCCTTACTTCCTTCCGGTTTGTGATGTGTTTGTATTATTCTAGACTGAACACTAGTGTAATAGTATTTGTTGTCAAGGGAATTAATTTCTACATTTTCTTTCTCTTATGACACAATAACAGTAAATATTATTTGAAAATTGCTACTTTGAAGTAAGTAGCAGTTTTAAACACATTTTATTCTGTTTTTTTTTTGTTCGGTAGAAGGCTATTCCTCACCAAATGCTATGTATACCATAGGTTTAAAGAGATAAACTTTAAAAAAAAATCGTTTTTCCTTAATCATTACTTCGTTAAAATATAAACATTACATTATAAACTATATTATATATAATATGTATAACATAACCTAACCTAACTATATTTCTCGCTTCATGATTATCAAAACTAATAATATTAAACGGAATAAATATTTCGTATTTAATATGATAAATGTGTATAAACGATAGGTAGAATGTCGGAGGTGTAAAATAAAGTTTGGACTGCGTATTTAAGATAGTCATGTGAACGATGATTAACTTATGGTGTAGTTACATGTATGTGAATGCCAATCTAGGAAATAGCTGATTGTGAGTGAAAGTTTTTCCTTATGTATTTCTGAGTGAACAATGTAAACCAATCTCAATATACATTTATATTATATGTCAGTGTTTTAGATTGAGTACTTGTATATAGTATTTAAATTTTTTATTATTATTATTACTATTATTACTGTTTTAATAGCAAGTAATGTATAGCAACTTAGAACACTGCATACGTGATATAAATATAGTTACATAATAAATATTATACATGAATATCTTTTTTTGTGTACTTACTTGAATACTTTCACCATCATGACAAATAATACTTGGTTCCACCTTAATGAAATGTCCTTTGATTTCTTTCATTTCCAATAACTCTGCATCCTCATCTATAACAGATTCTGGAAAACATTAATTATTTATGTAATTACTACAAAGATAATATACGTATTTCTAAATTAGATTAAAATTGCATCTATTTCTAAGAGTATAATTTGTTACATATATAGGTAGCACTCACATAACACAATTCCTATAAAATATATCCTTTTTAATATTTGATATAATAACAATGGGTCAATAAAAAAACAATATTATAAATTATGCTATAACTCAAGACTCAATATGTTTAGTAATTTAGAATTAATTTATAACATTGTCAACGTCATTTATAGTTATGTTAAAATAAAACAATTTAATATAAAAAATTTTGGTAATTTTGCATAGAAATAGAAAAATGATTTACATTTTGTTCGAAAACCCATAATATAGTACCCATAGGTTTATTTTTCCGGTAAATTGTTTTTAAATATCTGCTAAATGCCTAAAAAATGTTTTCTTAAAATCTTATTTCAGTATTCCAAAATTCGAGATAAATGTATTTACAATTTACATAAATCTACTTATGTTCAGTGCTTCACAGAGAAATTCATTCGCGTTATGGAATATTCGTAGATAATAATAGTCGATTTTTCGTAAAAACGATTGGTTTTAGAACCTATATTAATTCGACATTTCTTTTCTTTTTTTTATGACTATGGTATTAAAGGTTCGACCTTTTTTTAACACCTTATATGTTAAAACAGCTAAAACAAACTTTTTTAGTTTTTTCTAGTTACTCGATTCGTTATTTTGACTTATGGACCTTTCTACAGAGATGTCCTCGATTATATCATTATATGTAATTAATTTTGATTATATTCATATATATAGGGTGGATCACCACATTCTGCCTTTTAGATTTTACGTCTTTATTACAAAAAATGGAGATGAATGATTTCGAAGGAGGCAAATTTTAATGGAACTAGTTTTGTTGTAGGTGTACAGGACATATGAAGTATATAACCACCGAGTAACCCTGGTATACTGATAGTATCTATTTAAACTCTTGTGGGGTTCTACGGAATATATTGAAGTCTGTTGCATCAGCGTAACGGCGTTGGTCAGGTGGCGCTACTAATCAAGTAACGCTAGTCGGAATAAACGGAAAAGAAAGGGATGGCGTTTCGTCCCGGGCCAGCAAGTGGACTCATGAGTAAGACTAGTTAGATAGTGATACTATTGCAATGTTCGAAAATTATTCTATATATAGGACGCGGAGTGTTTACCGAAGACTTCTGAGAAAATCCTCGAACCTCCTCTAATGGCGAGGGTGAGAATGATGCCGCTGTTATAATCGCGAGCAGACAGTCACAAGTAAATCAAACAATATTTAATTTTTTGGGAAATTAACGTTATTACTCGCACTAATTTCGCGTAAAACCACGTGGGACACAGGTGCGTACTTGCGACAAGTCCCCCCACTCCATCAACGCTTCTACAATGCTCGCACTATGGGAAGGGGTGAGGAGTGGGGTACGATGGCTGATCACTAGCCGAAGGGGACGCGAATCACGCATTAAGTTACACCAATCGTATGTCGGAAAAGTTTGCAATTTTACCGCTATACTATAGTTAAATGCACGCGTACTCTAAGAATATTCAAAGTCGATATTGTCGACAATGAAGCTTCAAATGAAAAAATATTACTGTATATTTTTTATTCAGTTTTTTCATGCAGAATCACCACCTTCTCGCTTGTATGACCAGTTACATGAGACACCCTGTATATATATTTATACATACCTGTAGAAGCATTCTTAGTATCGTCGTGAGCTTGATATAGTACAGTAAATATAATATTATGACGCATCACGTCAAAATCCCACGTTAAAACTGCTCCTGGATCGTTACAACGGATTATCACACGATGAATTTGTCCACGACTTAGACTAATGGAGTGATAAACATTATGCTCTTGTTCGACGGATGTAGGTTCCTGGTACAGTTCCTTTGGTACAATTCCGCCTTCGGTGATGTATGCCTGATATTTATAAAGAAAGAAAGGTACATTAAATGTACAACTTAAAGACAACACGATGAAAGAAATAATGCAATTTAACGATACTGTGAATAATAGCTAATACGTTACAAAAATGTGTACCTAAAATTTTCAGATTTGCTACACGCACATGTAATCTTCAGAAACACATTTTCATATTTCATACGAAGACATAACATATCGATTTTTAGTTCTGTATCGATAAGAATGTAATTTTAATTGGTAATACATGGGATTGACGAGAACATCACAAGTCTGATATAAATTGCAATTTGAGATTCGGGGTGTTTCTATGAAACAAGTGAAGTTTCAAATACGGTTAACAGACATTGCTGTCTTTGTTTCAATCAACATTCTTGTGATATTTCTTTTCGATACTTATGTCTTATATACTCTTGATATAGTATATTTTAAATTGAAAACTTTATATGTACGTTCTTCGAAGGGGTCATTTTAGAAATGATTGGCGAATCTCAAAAAATGAGTTTTCTAATTAATTTAAATTTTGTATATACATATGTAATAATTTCATAAATGTAATGTTTATTACTTCTATTTAAATTATGGTGATTTCGTTGCATTATATATTATAATTTTTTCCAATTTTGTTCTAATTTTGATTTTTTATTGGAACTTATAAATCTGGTTCTATACGAAAAATCCAAGGTGACCTTGATTGCGCTATGAAAACGAGTTGTTTCTATATTCTTGTGAATATATCCAACAAATTTTCCGAATCTTTATTTCTTTCGATAGTTTTACGTCAAATTATATTTTTATAATACAAATTTTTGCAAACTTTTATGTGTCTAAATATTATATTTTAGATATTAATAAAATAAATGTTTATTACGACTGATTTATTTATTCCACTTTATTTTATATTATGTATTATTTGAACATTCGAGAATCGACTTTTAATTATTGGAGAATAGTTTCATTTATTGCGACAGGAATAATTTGCATGGAGAGTTATGCACATAAATCGATATACGTCACTTGACAATTGACTTCGGTGTGAAATTATATTTGGAATAATATAGGAAAGAGAAATTACTATTTTCAGTAAAATATGAATCCAAATATACATCATTTGACAATTAACTTCGGCGTGAAATTATATTTGAAATAGTATAGCAAGGGGAAAATAACGATTTTCAATAAAATATGAATCCAAAATTGTTTTTGCATATCTGATATATCAGAAAAGGACATTTAAGTTACCCAGGAATGATCAATTAAAGAAAGATTGACAATATTTGAGGTTAGGAAAGAAGGATATTCTTTAGCTGCAATTGCAAATCTATTTAAATTATTGAAAGTGGGAGTGAAGAAAATATGCGATCGCATTGAAGAAAAGGATTTTGCAGAATCCCTACTAAGAACAGGGAGAAAACGCAAAACGACCCTAAAGGTAAGCGTATTAATTATAGTTCGCGAAATGCAGTGTGATTCAAATGTGATACCGACATTAAATAAAATAGGAATAAAAGAAAATTTAAATTTACAAGTAGATTTAACACAAATAAAAAACCCCTATGGAAAGTAAGGTTATGTAGATATAGATCATATTATATTACAGAATTATGTATAGATATTATGTTATTGATATTATATATAGATATTATACAGATATAGGCCACTGTATATTTGATAAATTTTTCATTTTTAGTCGACTTACGACACAATTCAAAATTTGTTTCTTCCCAACCGATTATTTAAACAAACATGTCTCTCAATTAATTCGGATTATCGATATTCTATAGTATTGTTAAACGTTGCTTCTTATTCTCATTCTAATATTCTTATACAGCGAAAAGTCTATGTGACTGGAAACTTTTTCATATGACTGTGCCCATAAATATACCTCGACAATTTTTTTTTTAAAAAGTGTTATAATTTGCTCCTGAAAAATTCCATAAAATTAAAAAAAAAAAAAAAAAAAAAGAAATGAATAATATCCAAATTCGTATTGTTCCTCTTATATATCACTAATAAAATAAAAAATTGATCACGGCTAATCAATATTGGAATAAGATTATACTACAAAATGTGTGAATAAAATTGATGTCAAATGTGACAAATTATAATTGAAAAAATTTTAATTCCAAAAAAATTGATACACATAGTAAAATCATTGTCTACGTTTGTCGTAGAATACCAAATTGAAAAACTCATAAACGACATAAAATTATGATAAAATATGAATATTATTAAAAAATTTTAATGCACGTGTAGCATATCAAACACAACGATCCTAATGTGAATGTGCTCGAAATTTTAGTGATACATGAATTAATGAATGAATTAATATGGATAAATTGTAAACATTGTAGCGCATTAATTTTTATGAAAAATATACGAAATAACAATTTGACTTACAGCAAAATAATAATTATTCCAAATACCAATTACCTGATAAGTTGTATTTAAGATAAGAGACAATCTCTCGTTTATACTGAATAATTATAGTGAATTATTAAGCAGTGGATTTACAATGCTGATGTATAAAATTTCTTGTAATGTTTATTATAACAAAATACTTTTTAATTATGCTACCACAAACAGTGAAAAGCATTCGAATTCGAGTGATCATATTCTCATAAAATTCAAGTTTAACTTGAGGACTAATATATTGCAACATATACTCTAAACGAGCAATAGCATAAGAAATAAAAAGATGGTACAGAAGTTAATTTGAGGAATACCATCGTACTACAAATAGCGTGAATCATTATACTTAAATCGATATGGTAATTCTCTTATAAATGATTGTACGTTCTTTCTGATTAAGGGGTACCGGTTTAGAATTTTAAAAAAATATTTTTTTTTGTATCCTTTAAATTTCAAAATTATAAAAATTATAAAATTTATATAGTTTATGGTTAAAACTTCAGACATGTTTTTTTTTACTCAAATCTATGTGGTAATTCTCCTATAAATGATCGCACTTTCTTTTGATTAAGGGGTTCCGGTCTAGAATTTACAAAAAATTTATTTTTTTCCAATCCTTTAAATTTCAATATTGTAAAAATTATAAAATTTATATAGTTTATATACTTTTTATAGCTTATGGTTAAAACTTCAAACGTGTTTTTTGTTGCAAACATTTTTTGTATAAGTATACTTTTTCGCTGACAAGGAACGTCTAGTATCTTCAGTTTTTTCAAATTTACTAATTTTTAATTATGAACAAATTTGTAAGAAAGTGATATTTAACTTCTAAGTGTCAAAAAATGATAATTTCACGCAGTTTAAGAATATGTTTTAACCCTTTCGCTTCGAACGCCGCTTACAGGCGGCATCCATGAGATAACCTGTGGTTAAGAGCGCCGCATATAGGTGGCGTCCACGCTATGGCACCTAGGTGCGGGTACCCCATATATCCGGCATCCAAATGATGCATATACAAGTGCAATCTGTATACGATTGTTTTAGTCAGCACAGTTGTTATTTAAGACTTAGGAAACCGTACAGAAATATACAGAAATCACATGCACTGTGCATATTTCTAGCGCGCGCTTCCGTTCAGTGGCGATACTTCGGCGGACTGGACTGCCGAAGCGAAAGGGTTACTCAATTAATTTAACAATTAATTAATTAACAAAAAAGTTTCAAGAAAATTTTTCGTATTATAAAACGTGGTATATACAATCTTAATCCTTTGCACTTGTGATAGCACCCAAGAATCCTAACCTAACCTCCCCTAACCAAAAATTATCAACATCCTGCCCAATTCTCATGCCATAAACCAGATGTATTATCCTAAATAATTAACTTTTCCTTTATAAACATCTTATCCCGTTCTCTTGCGCCCTACCCAAAACCAGATGTATTATCCTAAAACTAACCCTTTCTTCATAAACAGCCCACCCTCGAAACCATATGTATTACCTTAACCTCAAAAACTAACCTTCCTTCGAATATTTTCTCCATCTAATCGAATTGAAAACTGTTTCGACAATACTGTTCCATTGTTTTTTCTTCAGAAAAACCTATATAATACGATACCGTCTAGAAAATTCGTACCAGATAAAGAACTTTTTGTAAGAATGTAAGAACAGCGCGTAAAAAGTACACTTGGCGGTTTATTTTAAAATTTCGACGACCAATTATAATTATTCAAAATCACAAATAATTATAATTATGGACATTGATAAACTCGAGAGACTCTAACTTAAGTTTTAAGATAATAATGAACTTCCTAACGTTTTTACTTTTTATTTAATACTTCATTTTTGCCAAAAATCTTGCATTTTTAGAAAAACTCACAATTTTCGAAAACTGAGGATGATTGAACAATTTCGATTACGGATTCGTTTTTAGGAAAGTAAATTTTGTAAGAATTACCTAATGGATATTATAGATTTAAATTGAACAGTGTTTTATAGAACTTTGTTTACAGTTATTCTGGGAAATAAAAAAATTTGCAATAACTAAAAATATTTTCATGCTTTGTAAATTATGTATCAGTATATTTATAATATAGTAAGTAATATGTATAATATAGTTATGTATATTCTTTATGATTTGTAGTTTTCGATACTCCAGTCATTTTTAGTTTCTAAATATAGATTTAATATTCATATCCAAGTTTAGTTGATATTTTATATCTGTAACTGTTTAAATATTAGTTCGTTATTTCATTTGTAAGCATTGACATAAGGATTTCGTTAATAAAAATATATTCACTGTTTTGTTACTCAACGTGTTGTCAATATTCAAACATATAAATAATTAATTACTATTATTTCTTGATGAAGGTCTCGCATTTTTTAGTTTTTGTATTACCACAAAAACTAATTATTTATATATACTGTCTACTTATAAATATATTACCATAGAAAATTATTTTCTGTTATAAATTGCATAAGATGCAAGAGGCAAAATAAAATAATTCGAAGTATTTACATGTGGCGACAGCTATGTCGCTTTGTGTAGAAAACAAGTACGAGTATCAGTATTAAATCAGGTTTCGTTAAAAATTGGAGATAAGTGGGACGTTTTTAGTTTCTGCCCCCAAAAACGGGCGTGTTAGATCGACAAATGAAGAAATTAATGTAGAAATCCCGGACGAGACCCCAAATATTATAAGAATCCCGAATGAGATTTCGACGTTAAGTGGGATTAAGGTGAAAGGCGGTGAGATGAAGTGTGAAATACGAAGTCACTTCTAGCTAATCTTCGATAAGCCCTCACTAGGCGACTACGACCGACAACTGACTAACTAACTGATATCGAACGACTAACGATCAACTAATAATAGCAACTCTCAATCAACTCTCTTGGCAATCAACTAACTCTCGATTAACTAACTCTTGTCTTCCAGGATGGGCCCTTTTAAAGCCCGTTCACAAGACAAGCGTTTCCCCGAAGGAAGAGAAACTCCCTCCGCCAAGGTCAAGGGTGAAGGAGACTCCTCCCTTCGAGTTAGCCTCCACGAAGGGTCATCTTCGCGGGGACCCTCCCCGAGAGATGACCGCAGCCTCGTCACCCTCGGTTTATGCCGGGGAAAGCCGGGGTTGCCTTTATTTGGACGGCGTCACTCTGCATCGGGATCTACGTTTGCTTCGAGGAACCATCCAGCTTATCAATTCTCGAAACAGGATTGAGTGACGCAATAGGTTGTCATAGAGTCTATAAAAACTTAGCTGAAAATTTCGGGCCAAGTGTCAGCAGTAACACACGCAGCTTCGTCACAGTAGGTAAAGAAGCAGGGTCTCTAGAGACCTCGTTATCATTTCACGAGGGTTAAAAAATTTAAAAGAGAATAAGTATATCGTAGTGATTTGACAATTATAAACCCATAATCCCAATATCCATCATCCCAAAATGAGGCATTCTTCCTCTAATAGTCAGTTTAGACTCACACTGTTAAAAGATCTGATATGTACTCGCGTTGTTACACTCAAAATTCGCATATAAGTTCGTAACGAAAATAGACTTACTTGGAATACAACAATGGCACGTTAAAACTGAGTTTTCTATCAAAACAAATGGGCGGTCCAAAATACATCAGCATACTACGAAATAATTTACTGTCGAAAATGTGGAATGGACGTTTCAATGCAACATAAAATAGAGGAGATAAAAAACAACAAAATATAATAACAAAAATTTGTATATGTAAGAAAACCGCCAACAATCGAGTTCAAGCGACCGCCGACAGATGGATAGCAACGGCTTTGTGCTCGCGGTGGCTCTCAATCGTTGTGAAACGATCTTTGTCGTATTATCGACAGAGCGAATAATTTTGTGATTCACTGCATATCCAATTTCATTTGTAAAAGTATAGTAAGTTTAGAGGCATGCGTTGTGGTATATTTTACCCACCAACTATACTAATCTAAAAATAAAAAGAAAAGGAAATACCATAACATGATAGGTCTATTCTGTCTATACCACGTCTATCCTAAAATGCAACATAGATATACCTAGCGAATGGTTACGAATTGCCACCGCAAGAGGGAGCAAAGTTCGTAGTTGTAATAACCTCCAATTCACACGCAACTACTTTGTTAAAATGAAAAATACTAAAATACATACATGTGTAATTAATCAAAGGCTTTCAATATACGGAATGAGTTACGTCTAACGAAACAATTAAATTAATATCACAACAGGAAACACGTGATTGTGATGCAGAGTCCTATGTCACATTTAACTTTTACATTTTACTTTTTACACGTGACACCTTCAAAGAAAAACTCTGCCATACTTACAACACGGTGATTCAGGCAAGAAGCAGAAGCCTTTTCAAAAACAACGAAAACGTGGTCTACCTGCTGGAAGCAGATGTCGCTGGTTATTTTCACTCTCCCACAAAGATTGTACAATCATGCGTATTATTCATCCTTTTTAATCGAAAGTACTTGCATGTTGTAATATGTTAGTGTAAAACGTAATGTAGTATTTCAAAATGTTTGTTTGTTTGAATTAAATAATATATTTAATTGTTTTTTAATAGGACGATTTTTCAATTCCAAGTATTGTTTATATTAGAAATGATAGATATTTGGTCGACTTCAATGCAGAACGGGGGAGTATTTTAATTTTCCTTTTCATTTTGCATATGAATAATATATTAATTGCATTAATGTATTGTAAATTACAATACTGATAGTTTTATATTATCGAAATTAATTTTGTTATTTTAACTGTACAAATTAAATGAATATATTAGTTGAAGTATTACACATATTAAAAATAATTTGATCAGATTTGTTACAAAAGTAAATTTCTTTAAAAACAACCATATATTGAGTAAATATTATTTCACATTGGAAAACGGCAATCTTAAATCACCAAATTCTATATTAAGCACGATATTTTAATTACAGCATTACTTCTATGTATTTTGAATATTGTACATGTAAATAGGGTAACAGGATATTTGTGACTATAAATTAAATATCAGTTATATATAATACACAAATGAATCAATTCTTTACCATTTTGCAGTCCAAGGTTTAGTCTTTAGAAAATAATCGATTCAAGATTTCCAATATATAATACACACATTGTATGTCTAAATATCCGGGATGGAAATTTCGGGTACTCGAGTCTCAGGCCCCATCAAGCATCGATTAGGTTGGGATTAGGCCGATTCCTGATAACCTACAATACGTGGGTACCCGAAACAGTTTCAGGTACTGAAAATTGTAGGCAAGTTAGGTCAGGTCGGAATTCCGAAAATATCAATTCTAAATTTGACAGTCACAATGGAAAACATGATTGGAAAATTATGGAAAATGTCATTTTTATTTTTAAATAGTTTTTGGATTTCTTATCATCGACTAACCAGCGTTTTGATTCGGGTACCCGGAATTTATAAATTTTTGGGACTCCAACCCTCTCCCGATTTGAATTTCGAGTACCCGTGCACACCTACTAAGTAAAAAACAAGTACGTATTCAGTTGATTTTAATAAAAGTATTTACATACGTTCTAAAATATGTACTCTACAAAAAATATTTTATTTAGAAATTGCTCGGTCAAAAAATACTTATGACCCCAAAAACAGTTTTCCTAAATAAATTGTTTATAAAATACTGAAATGAACTTCATAGCAATAGAACATGCTCTATTTTTCATTTTTGTAAAATTAAAAAAACGTGTTCAATTTTATGAATTTATGAAAATTTATGAATTTTTACAACTTATGTGTCTAGTTAACTAGTGTCCTATTGATTAAATTCACTTATTTGAACTGAACTTCTATTGTTCGTACATAAGATTATAGATAGCAGTGAAAATCAATGAACTCCTATAGTATGAACGAAAAATCACAGAGAGCGCTAAAAATCAGAGAATTGTGGCGGGAAAACAGCACGTAGCGCAAAAAACCACTGGTAGCATCTGTATTAAGTTCCTTTTGTTTTAAACTGAGAATCATTTATTCTTCGCATCAAATATTTGGTAAGGAGAACAAAACCCCTATAGAACACTTGGCTATATGAACTGTGTTTCCCAACGAGTTTAGATACGTGGAATTCCACTGTTTGAGTGATAACAGATAACATCGTTATGAAATATTCGTCATACTAAAGGGTGTCCCAAAATTTACGCAAGATTTGAATTTTCCGCCATTTGTGTGATAAAGTGTTGCCAACGAAAGAAAAAAAATACCGTGACAGCTGACAGTTCAGAATACTAAAAATGGAGCGCTCTCCAAAGAACAATGCATCTTCATTGTTGAGCAATATTCACAATATTTAATTAAATACTTGTGTTTTCTATTAAAATTACTTCTTGCGTGAATTTTTAGATATCCTATAGAAGAAAATCAATAGTTTTGATTTGTTATTGTTTTAAACAAATCATTTGAAGCTTGCATGTGATAAATGTTACAGATGATTGTAATAGTTTGAATTACTATAGGAGGTAGTAATAGCTAGAACTTTATAGTTAAAGTTAATAGTTAGAACTATATAGTTTTATATATATGTATATAATAATGTATATATGCATATATAATAAATTAAATACAAGGTATCTGGTATCTGATAACTGGTGATACAGGTATACAGGAGATAATTCTACATAAAAAATAAATAGGAAAGAAAAAATAAAATTTTTTTATGCGAGGTCTCATTTGCGAGGAAACGTAAGGAAAAGTATAAAAATTCTAGGGGTGTACGTAAATCTAATTATATTTTAATTTCATGGATTTTTATATAAAATATTTTTTATGTTGCTGTATCATTCGATCTATTTAATATACATATGAAAGTAATAGAAATGTTTATAAAAATAAATAGATACAGTCTACAGTGAAATTCATAGCATTTTGCATTCTTAAATTAAAAAGCGCATACTCCATGAATTTTCAGCCTCGATTTTCTTAAAAATGAATCCTTAAACGGAAAAAGTTTGTTCTTTCTTTTCGACTTATTTTTACATATAGAATCACTTTCTACTTGATTGTACTACCAATTACCAGACACCATTTATACATAATATATTAGATATGTCTATATAGAGTATCTCAGCAATGGTTGTACAACCGGGAAAAGGGTGATTTTACGTGAAAAAACAAATCGAAAATAAGGAATAAAATTTTTTCTTTGGAAGCTTCGTTATCGAGAAAATCGACTTCGAATATTCACTGAGTACGCGTGCACTTAACCCTTTCGCTATGGCGGCGTCGCCACGAAGCCTCTCCCGTAGAACGAAGCGACGTGCCAAAGATGGAAACATTGCGATCGTGCATTCTTTAGTATTCGCTCTTATGACACAAATTTTTTGAAAAAAAAAAAAAAAGAAAAGGAAAAACTAATCATCGCAATAGAACTTGCAATTCTTGGCGAAAAGAGCTAAGGGGAACGGTAGCACTTGTCTTAATATTTTACTTAATTTTTGTGGCCGGTGACTATAGTCACTCGTCATGTGTAAATGGCGTCTCGTGGCCGGTGACTATAGTCACCCGTAATAGCGAAAGAGTTAACTTTGACTAAGGCGGATGGACCATTAGTATATCAGTGTACTCGGTGGATATTCAAAGTCGATTTTCTCGACAATGAAGCTTCAAATGAAAAAATTTTATTCTTTATTTTCGATTTGTTTTTTCATGTTGAATCTGATACTCTGATGGTCTATTCATCTAACATAAGCCATAGTTCAGTGCACGTGTACTCGGTAAATATTTAAAGTCGATTTTCTCGACAACAAAGTTTCGAATGAAAAAATTTTATTCTTTATTTTCGATTTGCTTTTTCACGCAGTATCACCCCCTTCTTGGACATTGCTGGGTCACTTTGTATACATGATGATATTATATGTCTTGAGAAAACATCTACCAAGATATGAGATTATACCATTTATCACTAGAAATCATGATGTGATTTTGAAATATGAATGAATCACATATAATTACTTTTAATGGTAATAACCATTTTCCTTTTTTACATCTATACTACAGATAATTTTATTACATCTATTGATGTTATAACAGTTGCAAGTCGGCTAACATTTCAAAAATTTACGTAGAAGTGTATTAATAAAATAATTTGAAATTCATTTATCCATTTGATCGAAAAAACTGTGAAATTATGGAAGAAAAAATTGGAATACAAACATGGTACCTTCGCTTAAATTGATCTTTTTTAAGCAGTTCAACATTGGTATACAGACTAAGATAAAGATGGTTTTATGAAAATAATAGTAATATAAAATACTAAAAATTTAGTTATACCTCATTTTTTCGTCACGAGTCACAAGTTTAAATGTCCAATATTTAAACAGCTACAGAAGATATACAATCTTGATATTCTAACTGCACATCTTTTAAAAGCCTTTATTGCAAAACGGTAAAGAATTTTTCTATTTCTTTTTAGCAAGTACCTTTTTATTAATTTAATTTGTTTTATAATTCTAGAAAAATCTATGCCTCTTTTGAGTTATATATATTTCTTTAATTGTAGGAACAAGCGATTTTGGAAGTGAATTTGAGCACTAGGTATTGTATGTATGATTAGAAAAATTGAGAGAATATTGTTATTTAATATTATAACGTTCTTGTGATTCTTATAAGTGTTAAACAGATTGAAGTTTCACCTGTGAAATTACTAATCACATAAGTATATTTTTTTAGGTTTAATAAGAAATTGTGACTAAAACGACACAGTGCAAAAATGGCGCGTGACTACCTATTTTATAATTTTCTATCTAAACCCCTGATTTTGAAAATCTAAATATTTATTCTTTCCTATGTAGTTTAGCTAAAATTCAGAAGAATCACGTTCATGTATAAACTATCCTTATGCTCAATTTTTATTTACTTTCACAGCACACCTATCTTCCTACATTATTAAAATTTTTATATTCAACTTAGAGAATATCCTATACAAATTTTGTCTTTTTCTAAACTCGATTATTTATTAAGTTCGTAAACGTAAGGTGATATAGGTGAGAAATGTTTTGTAAAAAAGGAAAACTATAACAAAACATGAAAAACACCAAATATGTCTACAACTTCCAACAAATAAAACAAAGATGTAAAAGTCCTTACGTTAGTAGCAGTTGCGTCGAAAATATAAAATCTTCGAGGTACCATACCATAAATCTCGCACACACTGTCCTATTAGTTAAAATAAATTATTGCCAAGTATAAAATTTATTGCTAGAAAATATTACAGACACTGGAAGTATTACTTCTTGCATTGTTTCTTTTCACTCATAAATGAAATTAGAATACAAAAATAATTTTGTATAAAAATGTGCATTTATGTATACAAAATTTGATACCATGAATTATTAATCTTAGAAGAAGATATCTCTTATTCATTTTAAAATTTATCTTGTAGTTAACGGTTAAATAAACCACAATGTAACATAAGATTCTAAATTAAGCATACAGAAAAGGTATAATAAATTATTCTTACCTCTGACGATCCTCCAAGGAAATCTGGGATATATTCAGGTTCAATGTAGTCACTTAGACTGCCTGGACCTTGCTCTTGATAATTGGTGCCACAATAAAATATAAATTTCTTTCTTGTATTTTCATCTGTGTGAGAAATTTAGATACAATTAGAATACTTTTCTACAGCAATTAATAAATAGAATGGATGAACATTGATGAACACATTATGTCTTGCAAACACAGCATTCAATAAATACATAAAATATTATAATTTACAAATTTTGAATTGACTTCAAATATTATTATATTATTTCAAATAACACTGTCTGACAAATTTTAACTTTTTCTCTAATCTGTAATATTCAATAGATGATTCTTGTAAAACTTACTTTCCTAAGCACGAATCAATAATTGAAATTGCACGATCACCCACAGTTTTCGAAAAAATATGAGTTTTTCTAAAAAGGCATAATTGTTGTCTAAAATAAAATATTACGTAAACGATATGAACTTTGGAAGGTTCATTGTTGTTTTATAAATTAGGTGAGAGTAGCCGGAATTTATCAATGTCCATAATTATAATTATTCATGTTTCTAAATAATTATAAATGGTCATCGAAGTTTAAAAGTAAGCTTTTTAAGCTTAAGTTAGTAGAATTTTGACCAGAATTTAGTAAATGTTAATGATTATTTATATTTTTCATATTTTTTAACAGAATTGTGTGGTTAGAAGGAAAAACACCACATGTCACATATTTTTATTTTTGAAATATTGATGTTTAAAATTCTAAAATTAAGAATCCGAGATATTCTTATCCATGATTCTTATAAATTGAGAGCTGCCTCAGTTAAAGGATATCTTTAAACAACGATGCCTTTTATATCAAGGTGCAACCATAACTAAGAATGCTTTCAAATGTTGAATACAATGGTCCAACGCAATTGAGTATCTGGCCACTTTATTGACATAATGTTTATATGAACGTGAAAAATGTATACACTATCTGAATTAGTCTATTATCAAAAATATTATACAATGATTGTGATATATGATTCTGAAAAGCAATATTATTTACTTACTTATAAACGTGCTTATCAGCGTCCACAAAATAGGGAAGCATCTAGGTGCTCGCATAATTAAAACTCTTCCCATGGTTTCTGGGTAATTTATTTCAACAATTTCAATAATACGTAATAAAGCCTGTAACAATAATGTATTATAATTAAGTATTATATATTATATCCATTATAAATAATAGTTATATAACATTTTATAAAAAAATTCTATTAAAGGTTGCTATTAGGCAAGATTTATGACATAATCATGAATAACTGTTACTTTCCGCAGTAATTGGTGATTTATATTTCCGATTAGAGTTACAATATCAATAGAGTTACTCGACACATGTATCGAGTCCGCGCCGAATTTGATATTACGTTTAAACTTCGCAGTTCTATTCAGTATATGTATCGGGATTGAAAATAAACAAAATAAATCCTATCTGTACGTACACTCATACATGAAAGTATTCGAATGTTAACAAGCGTCATTTTTTGAAAGTGATATACGTGTATTACATTGAAATATGTGTAACGATAGTGATGTATATAGCAAGAAAGAGCTCTGAAAATTATATTAGCAAAATTAGAAAATAATTTAACAATATGTATTGTATTTATGATACATTTATTATACATATGTAGTATTGATGAATCATAAAAATATTGTATAAGTAACAATATTAGTGAGAAGAATTATTGCATCCCGAACACTGCAACTCTCGATTGGAGCTTCGTGGGGTTGTAAGGCCCAAAGTGAGGCCACGGTTGGCAGGAAAGCCGTGGTCAAAGGGCGGCGCTCGCGTCGTGTCCGAATCTGAGGTTCGGATTGGAACCCTTCTTTTCTGGGAAAGAGACTCACCAGGGGCTCACGGGTTGTGGGGAACACAGGAGGAGCACAGGTTGTTTCTTCCGAGATTCCGGTACTCTCCCAGCGCGAGATAGCGCTACCACGGGGTGGTTTTAGTAGCTAAAAATCCCACATAAACCCATTTCCCAGAGACTGGGGTATCTTTGGAAGATTTAGAAATCTCTAAACGTAAGAAAAGAAAAAAAGGATTGGAAGGCCCACTAGGCTGACGCAATGTGAACTAATGTGAATGTGAACTAATCAGACATAAGTGATCTAGACCTGGTTAGGTTTTTAAAATCATTGCGAATTGGCGCGTATCGATTGATGTTATGATTGGTTGGTGCGAAATGTTAGTCCTAAGTGCGTGTTTTCTTATTGATTGTGTATATCTGTTAGGGTTGTGTACTGGCTTTGATGTTTTTCGATGATAGGAGAGTATGTTTAAACAAGATGTTAAAATACGGACCGCTGTAACCATCGTCTAGCGATGTTTTATGACCCCTTGCTAGGGACTGATTTGGAAAGTTCAGTCTTGAGATCGAACAAACACCACTAATTAAAAAATAGGAAGTTCGATATGACGTTGATCCGTTCTTTGTTGCTTAAGACAGCCTTAAGATGATTTTCCACTTAACTCACTAGCGCCACCACGGTCGACATCCTCAATAAATGTAATATAAATATCGTATATGCCGTTGAATTGTTTTCTCATTTTACTAATATAATGTTGGGATAATGTCTTTACCATATTTACCACTTCGTTTTAAATATTTCACTTCAACGTACATATTTCAATTAGTGAATATAGTGAATGTAAACGTTTGAATACTTTTGTATACGAATGTATATTTACTTTTTACTTTTTAGATATAATTTCCATGCTTTATTACTCTCTGCATCTTCAGAAGAAATGCACTCATGAGAATTATTTTCTGAACCCCTCTCTTCAATTTCTGTTACTAAATCGTCATCAAAGCAGTCACCCTCCATTCAAAAATGCATTACAAACTAAAAGATTAGTCCCCCTGGATCATTTAATTTAAAAGAAAAATGAAAGTGACATCTTCATTAGATTTTGAGGAAACAACTTGTAACATTTTATTTAGTGTACCTTTGTATGTATATCAACGTATGTGATCAATATGAAGTATTAACATCTCAAATATAGGTAAATTTTTCTTGTTAATATTTTAGGTAGAATCTAAAATTTGAGCATTTTCTATCATCCTCCACGATTATTCAACTGTTAAATTACCAACAATTTGCTGCCAAAATATCGATGATTGAAGCAATACACATACCGATAACCTTACTACAGCATCCATAAAGTCGAAATTCACGTATTTAACCTAACGTACCCCCTAGAAAAAGGTGACTTATGCTACAAATAAGCATGCTTCTGTTAGGACCATGAAATCATCACCGATACCATTACCAAAATCATGGAGTTCTAAAGATATAAAAAGAACTGATTTTAGAGCTATGGGATAGTCGGTAAATTTAGATCTATAATGCTGCTTTGGTTAGTCGATAAGTTCTGATACATCAAGGTAATCAAGCTAAAATCTCACTCAAAGTTTTCATGTCATTAATTTTCTATTAATGTTAATTAATATTATCCACGCTATAAGAAGATAATTATTTATATTAAGTTCATAATGTATATCTATATATATTCAGTTGTGCTATATATGTCATTTGTAGACACAAAATGTTTCCTCATCCTATATTTCATTTTCATTTAATGTGCTCAACTTTGTCACATCTGTATTCTTACGTGCTGTAGTGTCGCTAAATACTACATGTTCGATATAAAATCCATTACAGCTACTTAATGCATCATTCACTATGTACTTGTATCCTATTAGCCATTATAAGGGGTTAGCCATTCATATTGATATATAATATCAATAAAATATATGTGGGGTGAGTTTATCCGTGTTTTATGTGTGGAGTGTGGAGTGTGGAAGTGCGGTTGAAGTGCCTGCCACACCGATGAAAAAAGCGTTTGCAAAGATGTTTGGCTGCACGTGTTAAAATATGTGGGGGGGGGGGGGGGGCGGGCCTCAAA